AAAACCCTCCCCAAGGCGGCAGGAGTGGCCACGGCAGGCTGCGGTGGACTTAGGGAGCCAGCCCTTCCGAGGAGAGGTCGGGAAAGGCGAGGACAGCCTTCCCAGAGACTTTGCTCGCCCCACACGCTAACCTGAAAGCAAATCACCACGGAAGCTGGGCCAGGCATTCGAATTCTGCTCTGCTTTGGCGGTCCCAGTCTCAGAAAATCCTCCATAAGGCAGCCAGCAAAGAAACAAGAGACCTCAGCGGTGTAAGACCGGAGAAGTCAACAATAAACCAAAGCAACAAAATCCAGATACACACTTTGGGGATGCTCCCATGGTCTTCTGCAAAGGAAAAACTCCTACGAGGGCGCTGCCACTCTCCCACCGACTGGCAAAAATTGACGTAAGTCATTTTAAAAAGATAAACTAACGGTGATTCAAATCAGCCTCCCAAATTTAAAGCAAAAGCCTATCGACTCCAGGTTCTCCTTTGTCGTTTCTTTTGAGGAAAAGCAGCTCCGCGCACACATCCACATAGAATTACCGTTTTTACACTCACAACTTCCCCTAGCAGCAGCTGACAAAGCAGCAGAAGCAGCTTTTGCTTTCACCAGCGTCGATTTGCTAAATAGACACACACGGCAGAGGAAGGCAGTCGCCTCACGCCAGCAGCACGTCCTCTGCCACCCCGCTATCAGCACATCAGCTGAAGGGATGGAGGAACGGAGCCGAGAACGAGCACCACCACGGCTGAATTACCCCCCAGGTGCCTCCACTTCTGCAAGAGCTCAATGAGCTACAAGAAACCGCAGGGGCAGCTCAGAAGCTTCCAGTCACTCGTTTCAGGCCAGTGAAACGAATGCTCTGCCTTGAAGGTCACTTCTCTGAAATTTCAACCAGTTCTCAGCAAGACTTCACCACCGCTCTCCAAAGAGGGCTTCGCCCTGCTCAAGAACACAAACCACGTGCCAGCTCCTGCAGCGAGCCCTCCAGCTGCTCTCTGCTGTCAAGCACCTCCACCGGCACCAAGGGGAGGCCTTCAGCTCTACCCACCGGCTCTTCCTACGGCAGCTATGGCTACACAACCGCATTTTGATTCCTCTGCTCTGCGGGAAGACCCTCCACACCAATTTATTTTGAATCTGACCTTCATAACAAGCCACATAAAACCCCACACAGCTGATAAATGCTCACTTGTGACCTTAGAGTCCTACTCACACAAGTCCTGAGACGGGATTCTTCCAAGAAAGCCCCAAGCCCTGTGGCTAGGACTGTTTTGACTATGAGCCCACACCACAGGAGGCACATGACCATGACTAGGAGCTTTTCAGTACTACAGCTTTCAGCCACCAGCCGAGCAGGACTTCCCCCTCGGACCATTTATAAACCAGTCAACTCCCCCTCCCCGCCCCCACAGCAGAAAAAGGAAGGTCAGAAACCAGCAGGATGCGGGGAGAGGGGGAAAACCATGCAGAAGGTGGTAGTTCTCCACAAAAAGAGGTTTCCAATTCCCATAGCTGTCGTGCAGCAGAGCCGCTGACGTCGGCGGGTGGTCCGGGTGGGAAGCAGGGCTTGGCTTTAGCCCCTCTCAAACCACAGGAGGGGAGCACCGAACCGCACTCGCTCTACAGGGGATGGTCCAAACCTCTTGGATGCAAACAGCTCTGAGGAAGGACCTTCACCTCCGAGAGCACAACCCAAACTTGCGTTTCAAGAGGAGGAACGGCCACGTTCGTTACAGCTCCTCTTGCTCAGGGTTTGAGGCCAAGCAGGACGGAGGGACTCTTCACATGGGCCCCGGTTTGCGCACGGAAGCAACGTTCAGCGTCTGTCGTTAAGCGCACGCTGCTCTTCCCACAGCAAAGCGAAACGCCATACTGTAAATCTTCCAAATCCTTACCTGTGAAGAGGGGGCTGAACACAACCGGGGAAAAGGCACTTTGAGTTCTTGTCAGTCTGTGTTTCCTATTGGAAAGAAGACAAACGTTAGTAGGGATGAGCAGACTCGGTGCAGCCCGCCAGAAAAACAAAACACACCACACCATTTGGTCTTCTCAAACCAGGAGAACCTTCACCATTCTTTGCAGAAGCTCAAGGCAGCTCAACGCTGCGTGTTTATTCGACTCCTAGAGCAGTGCTTTGGCCTAAGTAGGGCAGTCAACCAGTAAAGCTAGGTCTCCATCCTGCTACCAAGCGAATCTCTAACTAGGTAATTAATAAAGTCTTTGGAAAGAAAAACCCCAAGCAAGTACGGTAACCGGAGCCAAGAAGCTGTTTCACAACAGACATCGTGCCGTGTCTCTGGATCAGGCGTTGCCAAACGCCTTCGACAAACAGGTTGGGTCCCTGCGCAATTAGGGGTTGCGCCTCGAGCGAGCGCATCGAATGCCCTCGCAGGACACCGTCTCCCCAAAGGGTTTCAAAATGCAGGTGAAGGGTAGGCGAGCGAAACCCGGGGCTGCCGAGATAGATGGAAACAGCTTAAAGGGCACCTCTGACGTGGCAGCAGGTCCCGTGAAGCTCGCTTTCCGAACCAGCAGTTTTACAACAACGCTGCAGCCAGCCCCGTGCTCTCCCCACGCAAAACCACTCCTTCCAGCGCCTTCCCCACGCAGTGCTAAAAGGCTTCGTCCAGATCTAGGCAGAGAAAATGGTGGTAAACTGAGGCACAGAGTATGGTACCCCCAGGACTCGAATCCACGGTCGAGGCGAGTGGAGAAACGCGTCCCGGGTGCCAGAAACCCGCTCCCACCCAAGCGGAGAGGCACGAGGACAAAGCTGAGCACAAGCACAGCTCTCGTGGGCCGCAGCTCTGACCGAGGTCAGCAGCCGCAGGACGTCGTGCAGCGCCCGCCCCCGCGCTGGGCAGCCCGTATCAGTCTGTACCGGGTCAGACAAGGTTCCTCCACGTTAAATGGTCCAACTTCACCGCGCCGGCCAGAGAAACCGGTCCCGTTGCACCCAGGCAAGCGCCTGCACCGCCAAGATCTACGGGAGCTCAGACCAGCTCTACTCACCGGCCAGACCACCACCCCACTTCCACCGCAAGCAGGCTGTTAGAGGGCTGACACTGCTCCTCTCGGACGTCCTCCTCACTCTCCAACCTCCTCCCAGCCAGCGGTTGACCCTGAACCCTGTCTGTCCTGTACTTCAGCCCCCAGCTCTGCTCGCAGCCTCCTGCCAACCCTGGCTAAAGCTCCAGATAAACCCAGCTCCGAGCAAGGACTGCCGCCCTTCGGGAAGGATTGCACCGAGCAGGCACAACTCAACCACCCTACGGGGAGAAGAAACCCGAGCTCCGGTTTCACGGTGCCGCGTGCCGAAAAGCCCCGGGAGCGCAGAGCGGACGGGGGCACCCTCATCTTCTCACAGGGCAGACCCAACCGCTTCTCTCGGTTGTGTCCAGCCACGTCACTGGGTCGCGCAGCTGGGAGTAAATGTTTAATACCGTAAGTTTGCAAATGAAAATACGAAGAACACTCACCATCCTGACATATAAAACCCCACCAAAACGTTTGGAAGTGTTTTCGTTTTAAGCCTCTCACACCTATTTAAGGGCTGGATTTTTTTTTCGCCCCCGAAGGAGAACAATTCACTAATTATCAGCCACACACGCACACACAAAATTACGCTTTTGGACCAACATCAACTATAGTAACAGCCTCTGTTCCCACCCACTAAGCCAGACAGAAAGGAGCATTGCTGGCATTTTGCTGTTACCAAAACAGCTACATTTTACACCAATATTTTACAGCCATTGATTTCTGAGATTTGTCATTTCTACCAAGCTCACAGCAGCAGCACGGCGAGAGCAAGAAACGATTCACATGGAGCGAACCCTCCACTTCCCAACTCAGCCTCCACCAAAACAACGTCCTCCCACGCTTCCTCCTCCTGCCCTCAAGTTCTGCAGCATCCAAACGCTGCCGAAACCCACGGAGAAGCAACGACGTCTGACCGGTACCTGGACACTGCTGCACCGCATCACCGCAGCCCCGCCGGGCTGGAGAAAGCCAACGGTGGACGCTGCCGTTCAGGGACAGATTCTGCACGGCGGATTCAGGCACATGGAACTGGGAAACGCCTCGAGCTCCAGCAAACAAGGATTTTTAGGGTCCGTGACCCGCCTGTTCTGCAAGAGCTGCGGCTACTGCCTTAGCGGCCGGCGCTTCCCACGGTGCTGCCTTCCCTCACGCCAAGGCACCGCCGTGTTAACACTAAGCCAGTCCTACCCGGCCACCCAGGCTGCCCACGTGCTACTCGATGCCTGTAATAAGATGGAGACGTGTTAAAAAACCAAGGTCACCAGCACAGCTACCTCACAAGACTTGGGTACCAACCTGGCAAGCACTCTGCAGCAGAACCGGTGCCGAACCCTCGCCCCTTTCCCTCCGATTACCCCTGTGGTACAAATCACTCCCCCAAAAAAAAGAGCAGTTTGACTGATACAACCTTTAAATCTCAACACCCAGGCCCCGGGTGAGAAGCTGCACGTTGGTATCTCCACATTGAGTTTGAGCCTCCTGCAGCTCAGCGGAGCCCAAGGATTGATTTTTAGATAACGGGGCTGGTTTCCTTCCTAACTGCTGGTGCAGGCGGGAGGCAAAGCTGCACCGTGCTGCCTCCAGGACCGGCAGCACAACGGGAAGCCTGGGCAGCAACTCCAAAATATCAGGAATTCTGCTTCTTGCAGATGTTTAAAAAACGAAGCCGGACTAGATCACGCCCACAGCGGACCAAGGGAGCACCCTTCACCACCAGCTCGCAGAGAGACTTGAGGAACAAGAGCTCAACAGCAAGCAGAGCCAGGAATTAACCCCAAAGTTGCTCTCGGCCCACCTCGTCAGCCACAAGCGACTGCAGCGGCGACTCAGCTCCATCCTACATTAACGGGGCCACACACTGGGAGCCAACAACCTCCAGCCGTTGGCAGAACGAAGGAAAGGTCGTTGTCTGCCCCCAGTCAACCAGCGAAGAGGGGAGCGAAGCAGCAGTCAGCGTTCACCAGCGTGGCATTAAGTCTAGCAAAGACCACGGGAGAAAATCGAGTCGCTGCTCTACACGTCTGCAAACCGAGGGACCAGAGCAACTGGGAGGAGAGAACAAGAAAAGCAGCAGCTACTGAAGCCAAACATTCACTTCCCAGCAAGCCCAGCTTAGCTAAACTGCGTCTAACCTGCTCACGAGAGTATGGGCATCCCAGCATCCTGAACCACTCGTCCTCGCTGACGAGAGCGGGGCCAGCAGGGACCATCCCATCCAGGCGCAGTCTCCCGGCAGGAGAGAGGCCAGCACCGAGCACACCCGCCCCGTATCCCCCCAGCACGGGAGCTGTGCTCCACAGAGGCAAAAGGCATCGTTCAAGTCATCCAGCCCCCGCCAGCAGGAGGGGACTCCTGGAACTGGAAGCACCAAAGTCGTCCCTGAACCACAAGAGTTGCTGCATGAGGCACCTTGAATTAACCTTTGTTAAAATACCGCCTAATTAGCGCGAGGAATTGCACGACGCTGGAGCACGAGAAGTGACCATTAAACTCCCTGACCAGAGGGAAGACCCGGGCAGCGCTACGGTGCTCCTCTGCCCCCGACCTGCTGAGACACGACTCCCGACTCTCCACCGCCTCATCCCAGCGCTGGGAGCTCCCGAGGACTCTCGTCAAGCACAAGGATCCAACAAACCCCAAGCCCATTAGCAAAACATTATGTCATTACGGACAACTCGCTACCGTTTCAGGCCCATTTAGTCATTTGTGGGGAACGAAGCCGTTGTATCAAGCGGCTTCACCACCCCACACGAAAAAGCGAGGCTCCTCGTGGGCACACGAGCTCTAGGGAGGACTCGAACGCCCTGCCCAGCTGCAGGGCTGGGAGCTGACACAGGAGCTGAGGCTGAAGCCATCCTCTGCTTCAAAGGGGGAGGTAATCCACGCCTTTGCTACAGCCCCGCTGCCTTTTGGGATATCGAAGCGCCCAGTCACCACAAGCCAGTGCTGTGGGTCACACCTGACCCAAGGTCAGCATCTTCAGAGCAAGCCTGGAGAAAGTTTCCTGCTCGCCCATCAACAGGTCTTCAGCTGCACCGAGGAGGCAACGCACCCCAAAAGCTTTACACGAGGTTAATTAACCCCACAGGGAAAAGGCTGAGTCCATTCAATTATTTAATGCTGCTCCCGGGCTGGCTGCACAGACCTTGGGCAGGCTCTCCCTGCCTCCTCCATTTCACTTCTGCTGCTGGAAATGCTACAGAAAGTGGTTTCTGGAGCACAGGAGGCCCACCTCGACCGGAGCCTGGGCAACATGTAGAGCTCAGCCCTTTCCCCCTCTCCAGCCGGTATCAAACAGCTCGTGTCTTCTGCTGAAACACAAGGCTGGAGCAGGGCAAGCAGCCCAAGGAGTGCTGGAGCCGAGGAAAAAGGGCTGAGGAACCGGGTGGTGTGCACAGGGTCCCACACCGACAGGTCCCAGGATTTGTCCCTCCATCCTAACGCACGACCCAGCCGACCTCTGGCTGCCAATCCTCCCCCCGGCCACGTCCTGCCGGGCAGCACCGGGAGAGCAGAGCCCCCGCGGCGGCGCCCACCACCACCACCGAGGCCGGAGCCCAACTGCGACGCCCGTGAGCCTCAGGAAATCGTTCTGCAAGACGCAAGAGGAAACACCAGCCCCTTGGGTGCAACCAGAGGCCGGTCCCGGGCCACGCCGCCTCCTCGCTCAGCCGACACCTGCAGCATCCCGGGGCTCCAGCGGCTCCTCCGAGCCACCCACCACCTCACCGGTTCTGAAAAAATTTGGCTGGTGCGGGGCCCGGGCCAGCGTGTTCCTCCTCCACTTGCTTCTCCTGGGCTCCAGCTCCGCTCGACGACCTCCGTGGAAAACACGAGGCCTCGGCAGCTGCTCAGAAGAGGCCTGGACCCAGCTCTGAGCCGATGGCCGGCCACAGCACCCATCTGCGGGATGGCGCCCATGCCTCGCCGTCATCCTCCATCTCCAGCAAGGCATCACGGCACCGGCACCTTCTCCCCCTCCACTGTGGGGTCACACCATCGCACGCCCTGCTCCCAAACCGTCCCTGGCACCGACCCCCAAGGGCTCCCGGCTGCTATCAATGCAGGCGGCTGCTCCCCACAACCCCCGGTCCTGCCACCCCAAAACC